TGGTTTTCAGACTCAGGCTGTCCCCTCGATAATCACCCAAACCCCTGTTAAAGGCACGTCACTCCTTTTTCCAGTGTAGAAACATGGTAGGGCCCCATGGGCTCTGCTCGTCCATTGTCTGTCAGTGGACACATGTTGCTTCTACCCTGTGGGGCCTGTGAAGGACTTTCTGGACATGGGCTACAACACCTTCAAGTCCCTGTCTTGGTCCTCTGAGCCTATACCTATGAAATTGCTGGATCACAGGACAAGACTGACTTTTAGAGGGACTGTCACTCTTTTCAGACCTTTCCATAGAGATTGCACTGTTTACATTCCTACTAGTTGCATAGAGGGTTCCAGTTTCAGTATAACCTTGACACCTTGACAGCACTTATTTTCCTCCTAAAATTTTAATTATGTTTTATTTATTTTACGAATTTTTACGGAGCTGGGGATCAAACCCAGGAGCTCTTACATATTAGACACCTAGCTTTTTTTTCAGGTAATTTAGGTGCCATCAGATGTGTAATCTGTAAACATCTCCTCCCATTCTGCAAGCTGTCGTTTTATTCTTGTGGTCCTGGGGAACCCAGAGCCTCAAATATGCAAGACAAGCATTCTACCATGAAACCCTAACCCCAGCTTCTCTCTCATTTTTTAAATTGTGTGTGTGTGTGTGTGTGTGTGTACATTCTTGTGGAGTGTGACTTTATGATTACCTGAACAAACAGCCTCTTAAATTTCATTTTTAAGAGTGAGGCTGAACTCAGAGGATCGTTGCCTACACATCTCTCGGAACCATCTGTCTCCTAGAACCCACTGGTGGAACTGTCTTGTTGGAGCTCAGTCCCTAGAACTGTGTTCCAAGTCTGACTCCGCCCATAATTTTTACTCAAAATGGCCTCTCCAGCTTCATTGGGGAAGTACAAGCTTCACTCCACCCTAATCTTAACAGACCATTGGGCCTTTTCATCCCTACTTCTAGAATATCTCATTCATCCAAGGTCACGTGTCCTTCCCAATCTCCACTGTGTTCAGTGGAGATGGGGTGCATCCTTTCAGCACCCTGATATGTTAATTCTCAAGTATACCCAAACTCATTCATTCATTCATTCATTCATTCTTTTATTGGGTGGAACACCAAATTGAGGTTGCTTAGGAAATGAGATCAGATGCCAAGGTCACAAGACACAAGAGCACGTGGTTTTGCTGGGTTAGTCAAAAGTCATTAGTCCAGATTATGGCCAGTAACAGAAACCATTCCCACCGTGGAGGCCAGAGATCAACTTCGGCTGTTGTTCCTCAGGTACTGTCCACCTCGTTTTATGAAGCAAGGTCTCTTTGTTGGCTTGAGGCTTCCAGCTTGTCTAGACTGACTGGTCGGTGAGCACCAGGGTCTCCACCTCCCTGGTGTTGGGATTATAAGTGCACAGCACCACACCTGGCTTTTTCATGTGTGTTTTGGGGGACCAAACTTGGGTCCTCATGCCTGTATGGCAAATCCTTTACCCACTGAGCCATCTCCCTTCCTTCACTCTCTCCGTAGTGTCTTTTGATACACAAACCTTCCCATGTTTCAGGCCCAAAGCAATAGGGCCAGTAGACCATGGACTAAACCTTCTGAAACCATGATTCAAACCAAATCTTTCCTTCTTGGAGCTGTTTATCTTAGATATTTTATTAGAATGACCAAAAGCTATCACACACCTCCGCAAATTGTGCAGTCTGTGGTCCTCAGTAACAGCAACAGAAAACGGCTCAAGGCAGCCATCTGCATGGTATTGCAGCATCATCGCAGATGACGTTGGAAGTCAGTCTCTGATGATGTTAGGGCCATGAAACATGGTCAGAATTAACACTGGGAATCCCTGAGTGTGGGTGGAGTTACTCAGAGAACAGTATGTCCTGGATGATTTCGGGCCACAGGGGTCTGAGTACACTGTGATAAACGTGTTCCAGACTATGTAAGTGTTGCAAGGCATAGCTGGGCACAATGGATCTGTTGTGTACCTCCACTACGATCCACTTTGCAAGTTACAGTTTCAGTTGTATGTCCTCCTGGGAGTGGCGTTTATTCTCTGAAAGAGGATGTCCTGGCTCTTCGGGGAGAGCATGGACACTATGAGGGGCCTGTTGACATGCCCCATGGCCATCAGGGTCCTTTGCAGAGATGTCAGTCTTCGAAGAAGACAGAGATGTCAGTTTCTGGGGTGGCGACTGCTTCAATGCCCTCCTCATCCATGTCAAACATACATTATCTCTGGAGACAAAGAGTGAACTTCTGGAGTAGGTTTCTGATCTGACCCAGAGGGTCTGAGATGAAAGGAGGATGGCACCCCTAACCAGGCCCTTGGTGGTTATTATAATTACTATTACTAACTTGTAATCTGTTCCATGTTCCTCTATAGTGGATACTCTCTGATCGTTAATGTATAGAGAGGAGACTATGGCCATTAGTTCTGTCAGGTAATTTGACTAAAATCTCATGACTTTTAAGTGTCAGACCAAGATTTGACTTGGGATGAGGCTGTGTGGTGGGAGGAAGGGCTCTGGGAAAGAAGAACAAGTTGCATAGAATTTGTGAGAACATTCCCCAGTCCCTTCCCATTGGTAAGAGTATATAAGACAGATACTCAGCAAGTAGAAATCTTTGAGCAATTTAAAAAGATTCCAGGCATTCAGCCTCTATGAACTATCTTGTTTCCAGACACCTCTCTTTCCCTCCCCATGTTCTATTACCTGCCCAGCGCAAGGAGAGGGGGTGACGATGAAATGGAGGAACCCTGAGATCTGGGGTCCAGTCAGTCAAACTATAGGCAACTTTGTCTCTGCACTGGAACTCATGAGTCACTGGGACGGAGGAACCCATAGTCTCTCATCAAGAAATGGAGCCTCACAGGGTCTGCTCCGCATTCCTACTGAAGTACAAGCCTTGACCTTCACCCTCCACCTGGCCTGGAGTCCATCCCAGCCCATCCGCCCAGGGACAGTGCTCTCTCCAGAGCTGTTTCTTGCAGGCTTGCTGGCCACTACCTGAGCTGTCTGGGCATGAGGATGTCAAGTCTCTTGCACTCACTGTTCTTTCCGAGTCATGCGGTGCTGTAGGCCCAGTTGATGTCGCCCCACCACCTGAGCCTATCCTGTAGTCAAACACCTTACTCGAAGCTGTTGCATCTTGGGAATCCTCAAGCTGACTCCAGCAGAGCTCTTACTCCCTCTACTCTTTCTCCTTCTCCAAGGGCTAGCTTCTGGAAAATTCCTCTGTATGCTTTCTTGCTAATCCTATCTGCTCACTGGACCCTTTACCTCCTACAGAGGTCTTAACTCTTTTAACATTCCACCTGTGCGGCCTGAATGACTTTAGACCATGGATCATACAGGATGTCATACATCCTGTCAGCCATAACAATGTCTTTACTACCCTGTGGTATGCTCTGGGTCACCTTCCCTGTCCCTTTGGCCATGCCCCTGCCAACCGGAGTCCAGTGAACACTGCCTGGCCACTTTCTGTGCAGTTATGTTTATTGATCTAGGTCACCTTCCCTGTCCCCTTGGTATGTCTTGGTCCTGGGGGCAGCTTTATCCCTGACTTCCTGCCTGGCTGCTGTCCTTTCCTAGGAGTCCTTATAAATAGATGGGTCCCCTTCTCTACATAGCCCTTATGGGAGGGCACCTTAGTCTTACCTGCCCATCTCTGGGGAAGGGAGTCCTGAGTATGACCCTCCAGGCTTCAATTCTCTGCTGACCTCAGGCCTGCCTGCTTCCTGAATAAGTGTTCTTAGGGACCCTAGACAAGGCTGTCCCAGCAAGGGTCTCTGGCCGCATGTGCTGTCTCAGAGGACTCATCATGGACACCTTGTACCCCGACTCAAATGCACCCTGTCCTCTTGTCCTTCATCTAGTCATCAAGACTCCTGAGCCCTTGAGCTGAATCATCCACTCTTCTCCCCAGCTGTGGCCTGATGTTCCCACAGCAGCCCAGGACGCCACTCCCTCTGTGAGCCCAAATCAGTTCTCTCCTCTACAGTTAGAACAACTTTCCTAAAACGCGAATCTTCTCACACTAACTGTCTAACCCCCACAAAGTTCCCTATAGCTCTAAGGAGCCAGATTAGAATCTTCACGGGGCTAGGCCCTCTGTAGTCCAGTGGCCCTGTTGAGGCCTCTTTCTCACCAGGCCCCTCTGCTCTGTGCCCTAGAGCATCCCACCTTCTCTCAGAGTCATAGGAAGTCCCCATTGTTATTTCCTCTGCCTGAAACAATCTTTCTGGTTAATTGACTGCCTTCTCATCTTCCTTTGATCTCAGCACAGAGGCTACTCCTGACCTCCAGGCCCAGCTGAGTGCTTTCTAGGAAGCACCCAGAGCCTTGCTTTATCCTCCCTCTGCCCATCACCACTCTGAGGTCCTCAGGAACAGAATCCCAGTTCTTTGCTTTCTGACATCAGGGAACTTGGAATAGCGGCCCTGCCAGCCATAACAATGTCTAACTATGTGGCTGTGGGACATGGTCAAGTCTCTCTGTGCCTCAGCCACCTCATTCATCCAGGAGTAATAACAGCATGCAGGTCTGAGAGCCACCATAGGGGGCAGAGGGGTTATCTGAAGTCAAGGTCTTTGCATAAAAGCCCCAGTTTTCAAAGGCTGAGTGACAATCCCTATTCTCCCCCCAACCTTCCCGACCCTATCCCTGAGGCCTCGCCAGCTCCAACTGGAGTTGAGTGAACACTGCCTGGCCACTTTCTGTGCAGTTATGTTTATTGATCATTTCTTCTCAGCCCTGTATTTTGGGAGCTAAGGATAGGGGTGTCATCTGTCATGTGAGCTTAGTCTACTGGGAACCCAGAAAATAGATATTCTCCCTAATTAGGGGTGCAAGGAAGGCAAGAGCATGTCTGACTAGCAGGCCCCATGCAGCTGCAGGAGGAGGGATTCTAAAATTGGCAGATGTGAGCAGGCTTAGGAGTCCCTTCGAGGGGCAGTGGTGGGCAGGGCCTGGGCCTGGGTGTATGAAATTAGAACTAGGCATCAGATGGTGCCAGATGCAGGAATGAGGCTCAGGCAGCAAGGTTCCCCCCTTGGTTCTGAGCCTGAGGCCCACATGGGTTGGGCCAGAGGTTTCATAGTCCTGTCAAGGCCACTGAAGCTGAAGATAGAAGGGCCCATAGCCTAGAGGAGGACAGAGCCTAGGCCTAGGCTTTGGAGCACAGGCACAGGAGAGTGAGCAGGGAGGGGCACAAAGGCAGAGTCCAGGAGCTAAGTGCCACCAAGAAGCCTCAGAGCCCCAGACCGACAGGCCGCAGACTTCTGTGCATGTGCAAGTCACCGTCATTGTCCCAAGGATGAGGGCCAGGGCCCCGCATGCCACAGCCACTCAGGGTACAGAGGCCAGGAGGCATGCAAAAACCCAATGTGGGCTCCAGCCCTGGCTCCTGGGTAGAAATCTCAGTCAGTGAGAAGCTCTAGGCTTGCCTGGGGTCGGTGACTTTGCCCATAAAGATGGTGGTATTCTCGTTAAAGATTATCAGCAAGAAGGGCCTATTGAGATTCACAATCAGCGGGTCCAGTTTTGCAGACACGGCGACAATTCTGACTCCTGTGGCGGCGGCAGCTTCTGTGCCTGTCTCAGCCACATCCAGCACAGCTTTGTGGACCACCTGTGGGGATACAAGAACATCACTGACTGGAGACCAGGGTGGGCAGGAGAAGACTAGTGCAGATCGAGCATCGACTGCTGGCCTCCTGCTGGTGAATTTGCTCCCGCCACGAGCCCTGTCCTCTGGTTTTGCACAGTCCTTTGCTAACCGTATAGGATGTGTGAGGGAAGTCAAAGAGGTAAAGACTGGGCACTGGCTCTGGGTCCTCTCTGAGTCATTTCAGAGTCTGTGCCATCCCCCAAACCCACTACAACCTGGAGGATGGGTATGGGGATGCCAGGCTTTTTCCTATAGGCAGCCTCCTGACAGCCCCCACCAGGAAGCAGCCTCTCTGCCTGCCAGTGAGAGACCCAGCCTCCTTGGGGCTCCTGACAGTCCTTCATAGGACATGATTTTGCATCTCTGGACCACCACTCGGACTGGTACAGACCTGAGCCCAGGGTGCTGTGTAAATGTGGGGTGGTGCCTTCAGTGTAGCATGGGATGGTGCCTACAGTGGTCTAAGACTGAGTCTAGGCTCTTCCCCACAATGGGCTCATGGATGGAATTATTTGGGGAGAGGGTTGTGGAAGTACCAGCCTCATCCCATCCCAGTTGGAAGAGCTGGGCTGTAACACAGCCATCCCAGGCTTGTGGGAATCTCAGCAAGGGTGAGTGGACTGAGAGATGCAGGTGTTCTCACAAATTCGCCATTCCCCACACACCCACCTGGCCATCACTATCCACACTCAGGCACACAAGGTGAACCACCCAGTGTTTCTAGGCTCACCTGGGAGACCTTCAGGTTCTTGGCCCCTGTGATTCCTGACAGGTCGGCCTGCGTGGAGAAGACTTCCCTGATGCCCAGCTGGGAAAGGATGTTCCCCAGGCTATAGTCACCAGAGATGGAGAATTTGGGCAGGTAGAGCTCATTGATCTCCCTAGGGAATGAGAAAACCAAATGTGAACATCACCAGACTCAGTGCCCTCCTGGATCTACCTCACAACCAAGGCATCCCTCTGCAGCCAGCTTTCTCACCGGAGAGAAGCCCTCTTTCCCTCTGAGTCTGGACCCCTTGTGTTTGTTCGTCCTAATGCATTAATTATCCATCGATTTCTACAAGGACCAGGCCATGTGGCTTGGCACTGGCTGCTCCTTTGCCAAAAATGCTTTCCCCTAATAGCCGCAAGCCCCAGTCCCTTGTATCTGTCACACTGACCCTTCACCTAATGACCTTTTATACAAAATCACCCTCTCCATCTGACTACCTCTTTCCTGATCTTTAGACTTTCCTCTATTACCCCCATATCTTTTCACCTAACTTATCAAATAATGATTAATTATATTTTTATTCTCCCTCTCTGTCTTCCTTAATTACAAGGTAAATGGAAAAGAGTGGGAAATTTTTGTCTCTTTAGTCTCTGATATGCCCTCAGGGTCTAAACTAGGGCCCAGAACATTGTAGGTATTCAAATGAATCATTCCACAAGGTGAATGAGTGAATGATTGAATGAGGAATGGATGAGATGGCTAAACAGGGCAGAGCTGATGCTCAGACCCAGTCGCATTTTGCCTTTAACCAATCACAATTCCTTCTGCCTTCCAAAGACTCAGTCAATATTCCTTATAACTTAAAGCATGTGAGAGGCAGAGGAAGCTGCAGTCCCCTTTTCTATCACATACCATCATTTTAGGAGCAATAAAAGCAACACATTCAGGCCCCAAACTACCCAGACAGCAAAGAGGAGAACAACTCAACTCCACCTGTCCCCATGGGCTCTTCTACCACTGTACCTGAGGTACTGTGAGACTGAGGTGGAGGGAGAGAGTTTCGGGGACAGCAGGACAGGGAGCCAGGCCAGCCCTGGATGCTGTGAACACACACCTGGGTCTCAGAGAGTCCTTCCACTTCCTCAGGGTCTCCAGGTTCAGGCTGGCCTCCACCTCCTTCATTCGGCCCTGGTCAGGGAGGATAAACAGGGCACTGGCATTGCCCTTGTACCGCAGCTCCACCACAGAGCAGGACAGCGCCTCATCCCGGAAGTAGGGTGTGGTCAGGTCCTCGATGCTCATCACAGGCACCTTTACAGGCCGCCTCTTGTTCAAGTAGAACACAGACTTGAAGGTGTCACGAGGGTCAAAGGGTGTTTCCCATTTGCCTAAAGGTGGAGCAAGTCATCAAAGATTGTTAAGACCACCATGGAGATCCTGTCCCTGCCCCATCGTTGCCTAGCTTCTGAGTTAGTGACAGCAATCAGTTCATCCCCAACCACCCTTGAGGGCCCCGTATCAGTGGCACTTGGAAGGTGGAAAGGAGTTAGGAATGAGAAGATACCCACAGGTTTGCATTGGAAAGGGGACCCCAAAACTAAGGCCTGGTTACTTGAACCATCTGAGAAACAGAAAAGGGTCTGGGGTTGGGGAGTATAACAGAAAGACATGAGAGTCAGGGAGAGTTGGGGGGAACAGACACGGCAACAGGAGAGGCTGGAGCCACCGAAGAGGCAGGGACTCTGCTAGCCAGGGCATCACACCCCAAATCTAACATTCCTTGTGATGGTTTTTGGGAGGCATTTGAGTGAAAATAGGAAGAGATTGAGTTTCACCCACATACTGGTTATGGTGTCCCTCAATGTGAACTACCTTAATGAAAGAAAGCCCAGAGCCAAGCGTATGCCTAGACTAGAGAAAATAGGAAGAGATTGAGTTTCACCCACATACTGGTTATGGTGTCCCTCAGTGTGAACTACCTTAATGAAAGAAAGCCTAGAGCCAAGCGTATGCCTAGACTAGAGTTCATGGGACCTGCAACTTCTTAGAGCTGGGATACCAGGCATCCCATAGGCTGTGGGCTATGTGGTAATAAACCCTCAGCTCGTATGTGGGCCATGACCACCTCCAAGGCCCATCACAGACATCCAGCACAGACTTGCCCCGGATCCCAAGTTTGTGTTCCTACCTCAACCCGATCAGAGTGATGTGGAACTGTGACAATTTCTTGGACTCAGGATCTGGCAGCCTAAACCTGTCTCTATCCTGCAGCCTAGCAGTCTTATGGCTTGGGTCCTGGAGCTAATAGAGAGAGCCCTGCCATGCAGTCTAATCTTTCAGGCTCCCACTCTCTCCAGTTCATGGCGATGCTAGGCATTTGCGCACCACTGTCCTCTGTCTTCCTGCTGTCCTTTTCTGTCTATGGCCACCTTGACTATTTGCTTACACTCTCAGAACCTGCTCTTCTTCTGCCTTGGGCTATTGTAGGTCCAACCCCAGATCCAGCCTAAGCCTGGCCAACTGATCACTTGGGTCAGGCACCAATTTCTGGGCTGTCTCACTTGCTCCTTGGCTTCTGACTATCATCAGGCAGTGTGTTGTGGGGTGTAGGCTCTAGATGGGTCCCCCACAAATCCTCACCTACAGCATCACCTGGTCAGCCCCCCAGCTCGCTCACTCTTCACTTTATTAAACATCCTGGTCTAGGACTCAGTCATGGGCATGCTGACCCTCAGCTCAGATTAGGGTGTCCAGGGTCCTTTCAGGAAGAGGGTTGCCAGTCCCACCTGGCCCTCTTTAAAAACAGATTCCCCAGAAGGGATGTTGTGCTGGATAGCTTTAGTTGTCAACTTGACACACATGGGTAGAGGGAGCCTCAATTGGTGAATCGCCTCCATTGGACTAGCCTGTGGCTATGTCTGTGGGGCATCTTCTTGTTTGAGTGATGTGGGAGGGCCCAGTCCACTGTGGGTGGTGCCATCCCTGGGCAGGTGGGCCTGTGTTGTATAAGAAAGCAAGTTGAGTATGGATCAGAGGAGTAAGCAGCATTCCTCCATGGCCTGTGCTCCAGCTCCTGCCTCCAGGTTCCTGCCCTGAGTTCCTACCTTGGGCTTCCTCAGTGATAAACTGTGACCTGGCAGATGTAAGCTGAATAAATCCTTTCTTGTTCAAGTTGGTATTGGTCTAAGTATTTTGTCACAGCAATGGAGAAACAAATTAGAACAGATGTATATACATACCTATGTGAACATAACAGAAATACTGGGGTGCATAGGCCGATGGGTCCCCTTTGTGCCCCTACCCCTTGTGTCATCTCTGCAGGGAGGAAGCATTGGTCTTCTCCACTCTGGCTAGACTGGAAAGGTAAGTTATTGCCCTCTGTCTGCCCAGTAGGTTTAAGTTCCAGCAAAACCCACTGCTCTTAGGCAGAGTTCATGGGCTGCACTGAACTTGTGCCTGGAGCCGAAACTATAACTCAGAAAACCCCACAGAAGGGGATGAGGCCTGTGATCAAGGCAGGGTCTAAGGCTCATGTTGCCAAGTCACGGGCATCTCCCCTCTCCAGTGGTCAGCCTAATGACACAGGTCACAGAGCCAACATCCCCTCTCTCTGCCCCACCATCTGCTCTCACCTTTAAAGTAGATGTAATTCACAAGCACCATGACAGTCTGAGGGTCCAGGTCTGAGATCAGGTCCTTGATTTTCCCCTGGGTCTCTTTCTTCACATAGTTATTAATAAGCTTCTTGGCCTCCTTAGGCTGCTGGAAGTCTGTGGTGAAGGCCTTGGCCTGGAACAGTGCCCTTGCCTCCTCTTTGAACTTGGCCAGGAGCTGCAGCTGCTCTTCTATAAATATGGCACTGCCAGTGCTTAGCAGCAGCTGGTCCCTTGGCTGATTGAGCATGCGCAGGAGGTACCCAAAGCCCTGCTGGATATCTGTCTCTGAGGCCTCTGTGAGGTTGAACTTGAGACCTTCTAGGATCTCTACCAGGGTATTGTTGTGTGCCCCCAGGGACAGGAAGACCAAGGCAGCCGAGATGCTGAACGGGGAAAAGGCAACATTTTTATCTGGATTCTTCAAAGCCAGCTGTTTGTAGAGGCTGAATGCGAAGTCGGTGTTCCTGGAGGCCAAGCTCAGACTGTCCACTTGTGTCCTGTTGTCTTGGTCACCCTGGGCTGGAGTATCCCTGCCCAGTGTGCTATCTGGGTGGCAGAGGACAGCAGGGCAGAACCCAGCCACCAAGAGCCCCAGGGCTAAAAGGGGTGACATCCTCTCCACTGTCCACCCTGAAAAGCAAAATGCTTTGAGTCTTGGAGGGCCAGGTGGTGCCCTGACCATCTCCTACTGCCTCCCACCTGGCCTGCATCGTGTCCCTGCTCTGCTGACCCTGCTACTTCTGTGCCCTTCCATGGGAGATGCTCTGGCCACTCAGCCTACAGCACCATATCCTGGGCTCCCTTTCACCTTTGAGGAAAGCGCTATAGTGGATACCATTTTTCCCAATGGAGAAACAGGACCCAGAGGGTGAAGGGGCTTCCCAGGGTCACAGAGCAAGCAAGAGGAGAGCTGGGGATGACTACAAGCCCTGTCCAATCAGAATGCCTCCTTTCAGGCAGGTGTGGTGTCATGCCCCTTAAATCCCACCGAGGCATGCAGGTCTCTGTGAGTTTGAGGCCAGCCAGGTCTACATAGCAAGCTCCAGGTCAGTCCGTCTCAAAACCAGAACAAAACAAAAAGCTTCCTCTTCCCCAAGTTTGGCAGAGGGATTGATGGCAAGGCTGAGGACCCTCTTCCTTTGCACCACCCACCCCCATTATCGCCCTCCAAGCAGAACTCAGGGAAAAGAGTTATGGACCAGTCAGAAGCACGGGGTCCATGCCAGTCTCTTGACAAACCTGGGAAGTCACATGGCCTTGGACTGACTACTGTGTGGTGTCCTGTGTGGGGAGGGGTGATAGAGAGGAGTCCAGGACACACTTGTGTACTGCCTGAAACCCTGGCAGCCCTCCAAGCAGTTAATGTGTGTTCTTTTTAGTCCTGACCAGGCACTAGAGGTGGTTTCCACCTCAGGCATGACCCGGAGTCCAGGACACACTTGTGTACTGCCTGAAACCCTGGCAGCCCTCCAAGCTAGTGTCCTGACCGGGCACTAGAGGTGGTTTCCACCTCAGGCATGACCTAAGCCCTCCTGGTGGGGAGAAAGCTAGGTGGTTTCAGAGTCTCTAAGATTTCATTTTGGCTGCTGTGATTACTGTGGGGTGTCAAGCCAATGGCCAAGCCTCTGTGGACCTCAGTTTCCATTTTTGAACAGCTTTTTGGGAGACATAAGTAGTGATAGTGTCCACGTTCCCTTGGAGTCGTGACATGGGCCACCCTAGAGGACCAGAGCTCAAAGTTTGTGACTGCAAAAAACAGGGCTTTTGACCTTCAATCTCTGGTCACTCTGTCCAAGAGCTTAGAGGAGAAAGTGGGTGCTGGAATAATGAGAGAGGGAAGAAGTGCCCAGGAGGAGCAGGAGGAAGAGGAGAGAGTGATCGGGGGAAGAGGGACTGGGAGAAGATAAGAGGATAGAGAGGGTGGGGGACTGGGGAGGGAGGTGGTAGAGCTGAGTAACTGGTCTCTAGGGCAGTGGGAGAGACGGAGCTGAGCCCCTTCTCACCAGGGCCGTGGGAAGCCTATAGAGTCCAGGGACACCAGCACCTTGCCTGTCTCCACTCTTGTTTACTTTCAGACTGATGCAGTCATTTCTTTGGAAAAGTATTGAACAATATTTTGCTCCAAAATTATTTCCAGAGAAAAAGGGCTGGTCTGCTCCTGAAGCAGGAGAGGGCGCAACCTTCTGCCTGGCCAGGGTGCCTGGGAGGGAAGTGAAATAAATCCCTGCCCCTAAGACAGCTCCTGACAACTAATCACAGCAGGACTTCCACCAGGGGAACCCCCTGCAACAGTCCTGTCTGCCCTTAGCTCTGACAGCAGCACCTGGGCCAGGCAGGGTCTGGGCACTTCTTCCCTGTGAAGGGTCATACAGCCTGGGTTCCATCCACTATCCAGAAGCATAGCCCATGATACTTGTATCATCTATAAGCATGAAGACTCAAATTATAGAGAAGATTCCACAAGCCCCTCAAATGTCCCCTGACTGTAACGTGGTGCCCCAGGCACAGTTCCTGGCCTCTCCTGCCCACCCCACCCCCACCACAGTTTGAGACCACAGCAGCACACATTGCTGTAAAGGCTAGTTCCTCTGCTCCTAGAACGATGCCTGGGGATTACCTGCAGAGCTGATCCCAGCTGTCAATCTCTGATGGCTTAGCCTGGAGCAGTGCTTCTCCCTGGTGCACGCTAACTAATGCCTATTTATCCCTGCCAGGGACTCCTCCCTCTGGTTAGGAAATGCTGGCCCGGACAAGCTGTACTCTGCTCAGACTAGAAGTGGCCAGACAGGATCATTTCTGGTAATGTGGATTTAGAACACCTACCAGAACAATTTCCTGATGGGAAAACTCCAACTGTGTTCTAAACAACTGTAGTAACAAGACCCACTTTGTCTCCTGAGTGTGACTTCTGTTTATAGACTGTTCAGTGTTCTTCTCCTGCCCACTCCCCACCCCCCATGCTTGATGCTTGTCTCCAGAGAGGGAGGACGGAAGATAGCATTTCTGGTAGTTCCAAGTCACTTAAAAAAACTTAAGGTCATGTGTGCTATGTGGGTATCCTCAGATATATTAATAAGTATACACCTCAGTTTACTCAGAGCTCAGTTTACATCTTTGTAACCCATCTGTCTGGCAGGAAAGAGTATATTCTAGAGACACTCGTGTTCCCCTATTTGGTTATCAGACTATTGAAAAAATGGAGCACAAGAAATTAGAATTTCCCCAGAAATCTGTTCTTAGGAGAACTGGTTAGAGTTTTGAGGGCAGCCAGAGGGAGAACTTTGTCTGCCAGAGGAGGAACTTATCTTCTGGAGAAAGATTTATAACTGGTCAGATGACCTTGTAGGAGAGACCCAGAGCTGAGACTGGTGGGCAGGAGATGACACCTTGCCTGACTGCATACTTAGGCATGTGTCTTGCTTTCTATTTAAACCCTCCCCTTATGTGAGGAGCCTCAGAAGATGGATGCAGTGGGAGGAATTGGGGGGTGGTCACTGGAGCTCTTTGTTCCTCTTCCTGGTGTGGTCACATTGCATACATCTCCTTTACCTGGTTTTCACTATTAATATGGCTCTTCTAATGGGTTTATTGAACCTAGCTTGTTGGATAATGTCTTGAGCAGTTTCCTGGATGTTGGTCTCAAGGTCCAGGCCCTCCCTAAAGATGCCCCCAGAGAGGGTTGATGGCACTTGTGGGAACTCCTGGCAGGGGTTCCTGGTCTCAGTCATCATTTGTTTTTCAGGGCTCCTCTGACTAGGCCTTCTTCCTACCACACCCCCACACTGGCACACCTCACAGCTGGCTGTCCTTCACCCCTGACTGGCGTCTCCCTCAGATCTCTGTCTCAATCTCTAATGTGTCACAGGCTCAAGGGCAGCCCTTCTCTGCATTTCTCACAGACAGTGCCCCTGTCCATAACAGCCCCCAAGAAACCTGAGCAAGGGTGCAAACTGTGGCCCTGGTGGTGAGGTTAGAACCTTACATGGAGTGGGCCCGATTAGAATCCTGGAAGTTCTTCACACCACCTGTGTGACAGATGTCACTGGAAACTCTTCACCTCCTGGTATCCAAGATACAGGTCACATTTCTCTGCCTGTGGTTGTGAAGATTAAGGGAAATACAACTGGGCCTTGATTAGCAAAGGAGATGGCTCTGAGAAGTGCATTGTTGGGTGGAAAACAGTGGAGTATAAGATCACAAACCTGCAACCTTGAGACAGCAGTTCTGAAATGCAGTTATCAGCAAGACTGAGCTGAGAGCCTGAGGCAAGCTTCAATTGTCTGAGGGAACTGAATAAAGTAGAAGGAGGGGTGAGGCTTATACTCTCCCCCAACATATGCCCTTGGGGCACTGTGGCCTTGGGCAAGCCATCATCAGAGTTGCGCTGACTTAATGGAATTTCATAGGTCATTTCTACCACCCTGTGCAGAATTGCTGCAGATGCTCTGGGGGGCTGGCAGGTCACCTGGAGCTCCAGACAGACACTCTAGGAACATGTGCCCCCAATCTATGCATCTTCCAGCTTCTTCTCTGAGCCTCCTCATTCTTCACTGGTTTGTATTGGTACAGACAATACTTCTTTCTATTCTATAAGCACCATTCATATCAAAGGCCACCTACCATAGTGGCCATAAGGGCCCTGTGAGGACAGAAAAGAATCTCAGCACAAATACAGAGGGGGAAAGCTAGGTTGGCCAAGGCTTTCATCTTTCATTCTCTGCCCCCACCCCCAAGGTCTCTTGATCCTGCTAAACCCTGTAGTCCCTTCCTTCCACCAGCTAGCTCTTGGGGCTAGGCCAAGGCTGATTGTTCCACAGACAGGCCGCTAACCAGGTGACTGGTGTGTTGGGGCTCTCTACTCTGTGGGCTTTGTTCTGTTGACCCAAAAACACAACTCTCATGGTAAAGGGGATAAGAGATAGTTTATTTTGGAGCCAAATATGAGTGACCATGGCCTGGGAACATAGATTTAAGTTACTCCAAATTCCATGTTCCAACACAGTAACAGTTTTCAGGTCACACGGGACATAGAGTTTTTTAGCAGAGGAAAAGCGCACACGACAATTTCCTTCGGGATAGGGAAGTTGTCAGGCCTCAGGCTGTTGGCTGGTGGTCTTTATGGGGGAGGGGCTTTGGGGAATGCAGAAGGCGGGGACATATTTTTCTTTTAAAGTTAGGCAGAAGGGGCTGGAGAGATGGTTCAGTGGTTAAGAGCACTGACTGCTCTTGCAGAGGACCCAGGTTCGATTCCCAGCACCCACATGGTGGCTACAAACCATCCTTAACTCCAGTTCAAGGGGAATCCGAAGGCCCCTTCTGACTTCCATGGCATTATACAACACAGATGCATGCACATACATGTAGGCAATGCACTCATACACATTAAAAAAAAGGCAGGAGAGAGCCCAGGGATTATCAGAACAGCTTCTGTCAAAACCACCCCCTTCCATCCCCTTCTGTCAGCCAGGATCTGGGTTATGGGGTAAGGAGTCTATACACTGTAAAACTTATCGGGGAAATAGCTTGTACCAAGACAGTTCCTACATTAATGGATCTGGAGTGCAGAAGCCTGTTCTGCTTCCAAGATCCTCAAAGAGGAAGCAGTCTGCCTTTGATCAAAAGGCACAAAGAGTCTGCTTATCTTGTCTTCAAAGACCAAGGTGCTCATCAACTCAGTTCCTGCATTCTCAGGGGCCTGAAAAACCACGAGGCCCTGTTGGGGAGGGGCTGCTGCAGATCCGAACCCTAACAGAAAGTTTTTATAGTGACAGAACAAATAAAGCTATAAGTCAAGATACTCCCCAAACAAATTGGTGGAGACATCAGAGAGGCAGATTATAGCAAATCAGGGAGGGTTATGTTATAGGCCTTAGATGCTATCTGACAACCTTCTTAACCCTCAAGCTCCTGGAAGCTAGGGTTTTATTAATACATTCCCAAAGGCTTTTATCTATTAGGTCAGAAACAGGGGTTGGTAAAGAATGGCTTGGTATTTAGGGGGCTAAAGATAGCCCAAGATAAGTGATAATTAAGCTCTGGAACTTCAACATTCCAAACTCTTTACAATCCAAACACTTGATGCTGTCTGACAAACTTCTTAACCCTCAAGCTTGCGGAAGTTAGGGTTTTGTTAATACATTCCCAAAGGCGTTTATCTATTAGGTCAGAATCAGGGGTGGGTAAAGAATGGCTTAATATTTAGGGGGCTAAAGATAGACCAAGATAAGTGATAATTAAGCTCTGGAACTTCAACATTCCAAACCCTTTACAATCCAACCACTTGACAATTACTGAAATTCTAATCCATTGATCAGCCTTGCAGAAAGTTCAGTTTGAAGATGCTGGTTTTTCTGAGAACGTGGATCCAGGTACAGCCAAGGGGAGCTGAAAGGTTCCCTCTGGCCTTGGTGAGGTCAGGGCCTAGTTCAAAGGGTCAGGACAGGGAATACAGGAGGGGAGCCAGGCAGAGACCAGAAGTGGCCAGGCCTCAGGTACCCGTGGGAGTATAGCTGTAATACATATGAATGAAAGTTCCCAGAAACCTTGTGTCTTCAAACTGGACTTTTCTTCTGCAAGACTGGCAACTGATTAGAGCTCTGGAGATTGTGGTACCTGGAATGTTGCAGGTCCAGAACCCATTTCCATTTATCTCAAGCTATCTTTAGCCCCTTAATAGCCATCTCCTTGCCCACCTCGTAGAAATCCCCACACTTTGCTGTGACCTGCTTACTGAATGTATCCAACCTGAATCTGTGCATGTGAACCATGGTCACTCATATTTGGGTCCAGAATAAACTCTTACCCCTTTGAGGTGAGAGTTGTGCTTTTGTGTCAACACACACAAGCAGGGGGTCACTCAGAGCTATGGCCACTTACTCTTACTGAAGGCTTCAGATCGGAGTTACCTTGCTATCTTCAGAGTCAGAGGCCTGGACGTGGTCACTGTCTGTGAGAAGCTGCTTATGATTCCCGTGGCCCAGGTGGACTGAGGAAAACTCCAGGGAATGGGTCGTGGTCACAGTGTGCTGAGATTGTCAGTGAAAATTGTACTTTGGGGCTTGACTGGGGACCAGAAGGAACCCAATCAAGAGGATACAGACCCAAGAGACAAGTTCCACATCCTTTCACACAGACAGGAAGAGCCTTATCCCCCAAGCTTCTCTTGTATAGTGGCTCTGCTGCAAGTCCGAGCTGGGTGGATTTAGCCTGGTTCCTTTACCTCTCTGCACCTCTGTGCCTATCAGAGCTCTTTCAAGAATTCATAGAGGGGCATGGGCATGGTGGCATATACCTTTAATCCCAGCACCAAGGAGACAGAGGCAGGCAGAGCTCTATGAGTTCAAGGCTAGCCTGGTCTATAGAGCAAGTTCCAGGAAAGCCAAGACTACATAGTGAGAGCCTCTCTGAAAAAAGAAAAAAGATTCTGATTATTGTAGTCAGAGAACTCCTATGAAGGCCCAGTGTTTTGTTTGGACTGATCTAGTTTCATGGTTGTTGGGGAAAGGTGCTGGCTGCAGATCTGAGGCAGGACTTGCTAGCTTTTCTTGGTAAGGCCTCCCCTGGCAGGGTCTCCTGGTGAGCTGGGGAAGTTTCTGGCTTTGATTTCCATGCCATTTGTCTTCGCCCTGCCCCCGCTTCCCATGTGGTGTCTCTTTTCCTTTCTGGGAGAGAGTGGTCCACAGCTTGTATCAGCTTCTGTGTCATAACAACATGCCAGAT